TCAGTGAAGAGAAATGCGGCATAATTGATCAGGATGAACTGGCTGAAGAAACAGAGATGAACAATGAATCTTTTGTTAGTCCAAAGAAAACGTACGGTGCTACCAGTCAAAACTGTGAAGTACAGAGAAGGGAATGGAGAAAGCAAAAGCAAGTAACTCAAGACATGGAAGAACAGACTTCTTACCATTATGAAAACGGAAATTTTCAAGATTTGTCATAATACTTGAAATTGCAAGGTTTGTACCATCCCCTCTTCTGCCCAACCACCCCAAATAATAAAGTATCCATATTTATTTTCTTATTCAATCATGCAGCATCTGTCCACGTGGCTAGATGCAAGGGGTGGTATTTCCTTCTAATAGTATGGAAGAGAGCTAACAACTATGGGACTGGGAGAGGTGATACTAAATCCTCACTCAGCCATTGTATCCTGCTCCTGTTAGGAGATGACCAGCCCTGGCAGAGCTCCTGCCTCGTACAAGCCTATGGCTGCAGGAGCAAAGAGTGTCCTCATCTCAACTAAACAGAGAAAGGACAAGGTCACATGGTGGATCCACAGTCATATATTTAATTACTGGGAATCCAGTGGCATAAAAACCTGCCTTGAGTGGCCTTGTTTGCCTGTTTAGGATTCCTGTAGGTTGTTATTTGAGCTGCTTGATCCATGCCAAACTACAAACTCATGCTGAAAGAAAAACAGATGTATGGCAGTAGTCTGTATTTTATTACTAATGGTCACTCAACAACAGGAAGAGGAACATGTAGCAGAGATGGCATGGTATTGCTTCAACAGTTCCTTCAAATTTATTGATGGTCTGCTTTATATGCACAGCCCACAGAGTCTGGATAAGGCAATAAAATGGATACTTGTGAGAGTCCTCCTTCTTCAAAGATTTTGTGCTGGCATGAAATAATTTTGAATACAAAATCATCGTTAGTGATGCAATATTATTAATCCTTATAAAAGGAAATCTTAGTCCTGTTGGGATTAGATTCCTCACACAATCAATTATTGTGAAGTAATTTAAATATATTTTTCTAGTATTATACTGATAGAGTTCCTGGCCTCAACCCCCAACAGTCCTCATTTAGGTGAATGATCTTACACAAGTAAAGTCTTAAGTTCTGGATCTGTAACTTTTCAATACCTCAGTTTTGCTGTTGCTGCAAATGAAGTATTGAACCATTTGGGAATTAACAGAGTATATATGTCCAAAAGTAATTATCTTTTGCCATTGGTATATGTTGGATAGTATAAAGTGGCTTTAGCCTTTTTCTACCATTTTTAGAATAAGCCAGTGGAGCATGCTGTATGATCTCAAGCACTTGCAACTCACAGACTCATTGTGACAGTAACACTCATTTCAGAATGAAGCATTTCAGTAAGCTGTGATTTAATTTGTCTTGCATCATGATTACTGCCTCATTAAATTAAAGTGAAAGCTATCCTGTCTAGCCTATGATGTTCTTTGTGATGTTTCTTTAGTATTGTTCTCATGTTCCATGTATAGCCGCTGTGATGCACATGAGATTTGAAAATTTCTGACATGCATTTTGCTATTTTCTTGAAGTGTTTGAATACCATGAGTGGAATTACACTTGTATATTCATTTGAATTCATGGATTATTTATCTTCTGTACAAATGTAATTAAACAGGGAGACCAGTAAGTTAGCTGATTTGTTTTTCATGTCTCTGGTTCCTTTTCTACCCAGCAAAATCCAACCTACAACTAAATATGGATAAAGTAGAGGTGAATTGATATATACTTAATTTGACTACAGGGAATACTTTTTAATTGGTATCAGGAGATAGTTTAATGACAGAGATATCGTTATGGTACAGCTCAATCCTACCTTGACACAATTAAGTTTATTAATAAGCCACTCCAAAAAAAAACTTTATTGCTTAATTCTCTTAGGAAAGAAAATAATAGATTTATTTCAAAATTCTGCACTTCAGTTTAGACTACAGTTGCTTATTTCACTACTGACGTTTAGAACAGATATAAGAAAATATCTTCTCTCTTGCAGGTTGTAGTCAACACTTGGAGATTTAGGTGGCAGGACCTTGCTGTCAAATTATTTCCACAACTTACAATAGAAAGGGGGCCACTTCTTTGTATGTGCACAGATGAAACATCTTCCTCCCTCTCCAATCTCCTAGCATGCATGTAGTTACTGCAGGAACTTTTAATAGGTAAAATCATTATATGAAAGGATTTAATATAAGAATCTGGAAGTATAATCAGGCGGAGAGGAAAGAGAAGATCAGACAATAGACAGTTCTAGAAACGATAAGGCTAGAGGGTTGGGACGATCCCAAGCACAAATAAAGGCAGAGGATGAGCTCAGAACAGCCTTGATGAGAAGGACCTGGGGCTGTTGATTGATGAAAATCCCAACATGAGCTGGCAACCTGCACTCGTGACCCAGAAAACCAACTGTATCCTGGGCTGCATCAAAAGAAGCGTGGCTAACAAGTTGAGGGAGATGATTCTGCCCCTCTACTCCACCCTCATGAGGCCCCACCTGGAGTACTGTGTCCAGGTCTGGAGCCCTCAATGCAAGAAGGATATAGAGCTATTGAAACGAATCCAGAGGAAGGCCATAAAAGTGGTCAGAGGGCTGGAGCACCTCTTCAATGAAAAAGGGTGACAGAGTTGGGATTGTGCAGCCTGGAGAGGAAAAGGCTCTGGGGAGACCTTATAGCAGCCTTCCAGTGCCTGAAGGGACTAAAGGAAAGCTGGGGAGGGGTTTTTTACAAGGGCGTGTAGTGATAGGACGAGGGGGAAGCGTTTTAAGCTGAAAAAGGGTAGATTTAGAGTAGATACTAGGAAGAAATTCTTGACTGTGAGGGTGGTGAGACACTGGCACAGAGACATTGTGGATTCCCCCTCCCTGGGAGTGTTTAATGTCAGGTTGGATGGGGCTCTGAGCAACCTTATCCAGTGGGAGGTGTCCCTGCCCATGCAGGGGGTTTGGAACTAGATGATCTTTAAGATCCTTTCCAATCTGAACCATTCTATGCTTCTATAATATTTTCTGAGAAGAAGCATAATTTTTCCAGTAATCATAAAGGGCAACTTTCCAGTCTCACTGAGAGGAACACAAAGGGAGTGAATGTTGGTATGACAAAGAACTACAAAGATTCAGAAATCTATTTAGAATTGTTCAGGTGCATTGCAAGAAGTGTAAACATTAGCACTGGTTGGAAGTTACTTTTCTTTCCTGGAAATCTTGGTTACTTAATCAACTCTTTGATCTACACAGTGGCTTCCACAATACTACATGACCAAGAATAAAACCAACTCATTAGGATCAAAGATGCTTTGTAACTACAGTTTTGCTTGATGTCTCTATCTCCAGTCTGCTCCAAGAACCTTCCCTTGTGGCATCTGCACAGTCACTGAGGGTATTTCTGCTAAAACTGGCTTTTAAAAATAGAATTTAGAACATTTAAACAATCAAGCAAACAATTGTCATACCCCAACCTGACTCCAAAAAATTATGGCTCTAATGCTAATGTCTGTGAATTACTCAGATGATATTTTCTGAGGAGAAATATTAGCTTGATTAAACTTCATTTATTGCATTATTTTTATGTTTTTTTCTGAGCTTTTGTTCAAAATATTTTTTTACATATTTTCAAATATAAGACAGTGCTAAACACTCAGAGTTTTATTTGAAAATGGTTTCCTGGATGCAGAAGGAAGCAAAATTTGGTTTATATTGGAAAAGAGATCTTAAGCAAACTAAGGAAAAGTCAATATGAAATGGTAGAAGAAACGGTAGGCCATGGAATATTAATTTAAGTATGAGGAGAGGCAATGTAGGACAATAAGTCCTAGCTATATATTGTTCAGTGTAGTTATCCACTCATCTTGCTTTATAAAGAAGGCTGCAGCTTTAACTTCCTTGACATCTCACATTTTCTAGGCACTACTAGCAGAAGTGTAATGGTAATTAATATTCCTCTTATATTTATGTAAGAGTTAAACAAAATGTTCCTGGTAGTGGGAAAGGAAAAAAAAATAATACCTGTCATAATGAAATTTCACCTGAGTAGAAACTTATATTGTGAAATAATCACTTAGTCCAAAAGAATATACAGTCTTTTGAGTAAAAAAATTAACAAGGGCATCCAGATGTTAACAAAGTGCCAGGAGGAGTCTAATACATGTAACATAATTAATTTGAAAGTAGCAGGGCAAAAATTAATTCAAGGTCATGCAAAATGTGTCATGGCTTTGAATATTTCCAGTTGATTCCTGTTGTTAATAGTTACAGAGATCTTTAAGTTTATTCATTATTTTAAGGGTTTATTTAAGGAAAATCTTGTAAAAAAACCCAAACAGATTTCTTGTTTTTCTTCTCACTTATCATTAAATAAATTAATTTGAGATATTTTATATTTTAATATTTAATTATTTGTATTTTAAGAAAGAGGAGTGAGTAATTCTTGTGGTTAAAAGAACAGAGAGGGAAGAAGGGGAAATGGGGTAAATCAGCTTCCAGATCCTAGAAACAGAACTTGGAGTTCTTCAGGTTTTTGAGTTCAAACCTAAAGGATGGGTCAAGACCTGATATTCTGCATTGTCCCAAGGCTCAGGGAGTTCACTCAGGTCTCAATTCAAAGTTTAACTTTCATGAAATTAAGAGAGATTAAAAACTATTAATTCTTGTGACATTCAAATGCTTATGTTGGATTAGAAAACACGAGCAGGGAGATCACCCTGTGAACACTACTGCAACATTATATGTACATGCAGAAGACAGTCTGGCAGGCTTCTTTGTAAAAATGCTTTTTATTACTCATGTACCAGTATTGGCTATTTCTTATCTTCTATTTGATAACAATGTTTACCTGTGACAGGAAAATATTGCTCCTTTTTTTTCCTCAATCTTTTTTTTGATTTTAGTGTTTATACTACTCATCATTTTTACAGCTCTTCCATAAGCAAAATTCCATAAGTAAAGAATCTAAGAAATGTGGTAAGGTTGTAATTTTTTGTGCTGACCTACCTTTAAAATAACACAATAAAGCCAACTCATTTTTCCCAGAGATCCTACCATTCGGATATTGTAAGTCCCCATCATAAAAGCTTGACTCAACTAACTTGGTTCTCCCCCTTGTTTAATCAGTGTATTGGCTCTCTGCAGCAACCAACAGACTCCATTTGTTTATGTGTAACTGCATTTATCTTGTCAATAAAGTTAAT